TGGGGAACTTGGTTGGGAAGACGCTGTTGCACTCATGACTTACTTGTTTGCTCTCCCTGGATAGATGACCGGCCAGTAAATATCGGGCTAGATGGACTTTAGTGTGATCCAGCATGGCTTTTCTAACGTTCTTAAAAGGAAGTTGCACGTGATCAGTGACAAGTGGAAGATCAAAGCCTTGCCAAAAGTTGTGGACTTTTGTCATTATGTTTACACTGGGTAAATGAACTTTGTCTTTTATTGGCTTAGGTGATGATGAACTAAGGTGACAAACTAAGGTGACATCCATTAGGTGATGATGTGGACAAGCTACTTGGACAAGTACGTCCTACCACCTGCTTACTTGACCCTTGCCCTTCGTGGCTACTGACCAAAGCCAAACACGGGATTGGTTCCTGGATCCTAGAGGTTATTAATGCCTCACTGAGGGAGGGCCAGGTGCCTGCTCCTTTAAAGGAGGCGGTAATCAGGTCAGTCCTAAAGAAGGCGTCTCTGGATCCAGAGATGGCCGCCAATTATAGACCGGTGGCCAACATCCCATTTCTGGGCAAGGTGTTGGAACAGGTGGTGGTGGGACAACTCCAAGTACCCTTGGATGAAACTGATTATCTGGACCCATTTCAGTCTGGCTTCAGACCTGGTTACGGTACTGAATCTGCTTTGGTTGCCCTGTATGATGACCTGTGCAGGGAGAGAGAGGGGGGGAGTGTGTCCCTGTTGGCTCTCCTGGACCTCTCAGCAGCTTTCGATACCATCAACCATGGTATCCTTCTGGATAGGCTGGCGGGACTAGGAGTAGGAGCACTGCTTGGCAGTGGTTCCGCTCCAACCTTGCCGGCTGATTCCAGAAGGTGGTGCTGAGGGACTTTGGCTCTGCACCATGGCAACTCTGCCATGGAGTACCGCAGGGTTCCATTCTGTCCCACTTGCTATTCAACATCTACATGAAACCGCTGGGAGAGGTCATCAGGAGGTTTGGGCTGCAGAGTCATCATTATGCTGATGACACCCAGCTCTACCTCTCTTTTTCAACTAATCCAAGTGAGGCAGTGGCTGTCCTGAACTGGTGCCTGGCCGAGGTAATGGGCTGAATGAGGGCCAATAAACTGAAGCTCAGTCCAGATAAGATGGAGGTTCTGTTGGTGGGTGATTTGAGTGCCTAGATAGGTGACTTGGGCCCTGTCCTGGATGGGGTTGCACTCCCTCTAAAGGACAGGGTCCGCAGCTTGGGAGTGTTTCTCAACCCAGAGCTGTCCTTGGAAGCCCAAGTGATGGCGGTGGCAAGGAGCGCTTTCCTTCAGCTTCGGCTAATCAGCTGTGTCCCTACCTGGAGGAGGATTGCCTAGCAACAGTGACACACGCATTGGTTATTTCCCATTTGGATTACTGTAACGCGCTTTACGTGGGGCTGCCCTTGAAGACAGTCTGGATACTTCAGATGGTGCAAAATAGAGCTACCAGGATGCTGTCAGGGACTGGATGTTATTCTCATATAACTCCAGTCCTCTATCAGCTCCACTGGCTTCCCATCAAAGTCTGGGCTCAATTCAAGGTGCTGGTTATTACCTATAAAGCTCTAAAAGGCTTGGGACCAGGATACCTAAAGGAACGCCTTTTTCCCTATTTGCCCTCCTGCCCCCTGAGATCAGCAGCAGAAGTCCTCCTCCGGGAACCCTCTGTGAAAGACGTTAAGAGACAGAGTACCCAGAGGAGGGCCTTCTCTGCAGTGGCCTCCCGACTATCGAATGCGCTCCCTAGAGAGCTCCGCCTGGTGCCATCATTATATGTTTTTCAGCACAGGTCAAGACCTTTTTATTCGATCAATATTTTAATATGTATTAATTGAATTGTATTGTTTGTATTCTATTGGATTTTCAGCCAGCATGGAATAATTAATTTAGTTAATTTATTTTATTCTGATTAATGTTGTAAGCTGTCCAGAGATGGAAGTAATGGACGGCATACAAATTTTATAAATAAATAAATAAACTGAACATTCATACATGTCAATTTCATGTTATATTATCAGTTTTTTAGGATCCAAAGCACATGGCACTGGGATGGAAATAGGTCAGGAGAATGCAATCAGATGTGTAAGTCAGGCAAAGGCTAAATGGACACAAGAGAAAATGAACCTGTCAGACACAAATGAAAGTGACACCATGCACAGATGTTTCTATATAAAAACTAGAAGAAAAGGTAAGCAACTTGGAGTGCTTAATTTTGAAGAAGTACCTAGATACTGGAAACCCAATGGAAAGGAAAGATTGCAGATTCAGTCTCTGTGAGAAGGGCATACTGAGGCTGATGTCATTCTGCATGTCAAAAGGGCATAATGAAGGGGCAGACTCCTCCACAGAATCACTGCGGGCAACAATACCTGGTTCCAAAAGTAACTGAATACTGGGAATATACTATTGTGTCCCTGCCAAAATGCTCAGGATGATTCAGAGATGGAGAATAAAATCAAGAAGGTTGTAGCAACAGGTAACTTCCGTCAGCTCACAAAGACTTGATAAATGCCTGTTCCAATCAAAACAAAAAACTAAAAATATCTCAGGACCCTAAATGACCATGCCTTAGAACAGTTTGTTGAGGAACTGATCATGGAGGTGGTGGTCTTAGAGTCATCCAATTAAGCTGAACAGCAGGGGATTCAGGACAGGTGAAGAGAAGTCCATCTTCACACAGGACATACTTAAACTATGGAATTTGTTACCACAAGATATAGTGATGGTCACTAACTTGGTCAGCTTTAAAAGAAGACTAAACAGTTTCATGGAGGATAAGGCTTCCAATAGCTACAAGTCGTATTATCTCCTATATCACAACCTTTGTTCTGATCTAGAAAAGGACATGTGTATGCAAAAAGGCCACTCTCTACTATATCAAACCTAATTCAATGGAAATGTAGTTACAGACTGTACTTACAGGTCTTAACGATAACAAGAATGTCAATGCCCTCCTTGGCTATGTTTTGCTAGTGCAAAACTATATTACAGATCTTTATGGATATTAAAGTTTTTCTAGAATTTCAATGCCATTGAAACCAATGGGAGTTGCTTCCATATAGTACAAATAGGATTAGCATGCTGAAGTACAACCTAGTGTTTGCTTTACTAATATGTAGTCAGTTAACATGTGTACCTAGGACCTAGTTTGACTGAACTCAATTGAAGTTAATTTCTGAGTACTCCTATATAACCCTGAGGTGTTGAAATATAAATTATTCCAAACTCGACATTCACAAGTCTTGCAGTCTGCAATTTAAAAAATAATAATTAACATTATACTGAGATGGATATATTCTGGATTTCAAAAGTGCAGGCCATGAAATAATGCTGCATAATATATAAGACTGTCTCTTCATGAACTCTCAAATTAAGCAGAACAGATTAAGGGATGAAGATTATGTGCATTAGCCTAACAGTTTCACAGACTAACTTACATACTTCATTGGTTGTATCATGTATTGGTCTAACTGTAACCTACTCTATCTAGGACTCAGATACAACCCCATGTGATATTTGGAGTACGCACATTCTCCACATTTATTTCTAAATTAAACATTAGTATTTCAATGTTTCACACCTTTGCCTCAGCAATAGAATCCAAACAAATACAATGCATACATCATAACCTGGTTTTCTTTACTGTACGTTTGCTCACCTTGCAGCCTATGAGGTGAAATGATACCCAGAGGCCATGTATACCCAGAGGCCACACACCATAAATCTCCTGTTCTTATTGCTGGCATACCCTGGATGTTTTAGATTCCAATTCTATCAGCCCTAGAATCATGGCCAATGGTCAGGAATGCTAGGAAATGTAGTCCAAAATATCTAAAGGACACCAAGTTGAAGAAGGCTGCTGTAGTAGGCAACTATTCCTGAATGCCTGTCTTATTGACTTTGCTTTAAGCAGGTGACTCAACTGTAGATGATAATATAAATGGAAATCATGAGGCCCAGAGCCAAAGCCTATAGGCCCCTCTCTTGAATTTCCAAAAGTTTACGGCAGGCAGGATAACCCAACTGACCTTCTGACAGCAAAATGCCATGCCCACCACTTACTATGTCACAGTCACACCTGTGCACTGTCCTGCTTCATCACTCAGCATGATGCAACAACATGCATAATTAATTTATGTACCACTTGATAACAGGGCAGGGCTGGCCCTACCTTTAGGAAAAATGAGGTGGCTGCCTCAGGCAGTTGATTTTAGGTGTCATGAAAGGAAGGCAAATTGTTAGTTATTTAAGTTCTGATTACAGTAGAAAGAGAGCCACTCCTGAGATTTTCTGCCTCAGATGGCCAACCTTGGTACTATGCACCTTGGCTTTGTCCTGGCCTTTACTAAAATGTCTTTGGTGGACCAATGTTATGGATGTCTTTATAAGGGAGAATTCCAAAAGTTGAGGCTGGATCTCTTAATAGCTGCTCACTGTATAATAACTGAATAGAACCTACAAGGTTGAGAGCACTATAACTGAATGCCAGGTACAGGGTGGGGGGTAAGGGTGGGAGAGGGAGAGAGGGCAACATCAGGGAAGGGGGCTGATGCCTTCACACCTTTCTTGTTGGGCACTCTGGGAAACAGGATGCTGGACCAGTGGGCCTTTGCCTGCCCCAGCAGGGCTCTTATCTTCCTTCCATCCCTCCTGCACATTCCTAAGTGTGGTGCAGTGTGCCAGTGTGCTGCAGTGGTTAAGAACATGGAACTGAGACTCTGGAGGTCTGGGTTCTAGTCCTCATTTAGCCATGGAACTCACTGGGCGACTTTGGGCCAGTCACTTGACTCTCTGCCCACCCTCACAAATGTTGTTGTGAGAATAAAATGAGAAGAGGAGAATTATGTAAGTCGTGGGGTGTAAATACGATAAATAAATAGCGTACCCGTGCACAGGGCAGATAGAAGCAGCAAGTGAGAGCCTAAAACCGCAGGGTCGCCCTGCCACATACACATTCCCCACCCCCACCCCACGCCCCGAGATACTTACTGAGGGTGGCTATTGTGCCAGCTTCCAGCAGCAGGCAGTCCTGGATCCCGCGCGCCTCCAGCAGGGCGCTCGCGTGGGGTTCCGACTTCCACAGCAGCCTCAGACCTTTGCTCAAAGCCATGGAGGCCGCTTTCCATTAGGTGGGGAAGAACCGGGGTTGGGGGATTCAGTCCACACCAGGAGGGCTGCGAGAAGAAAATGACCTTTGATCCCGCGCGCCAAAGGAGTCGGCAAAGGCTCGGCGGTGTATGGAGGAAATTCTCGGGGCACGAAGTTGCTCGAAGTGAGTTCCAAAGAAATTCGGGAACAACTTTCCTGCGTTTTTTTCCCTTTTTAAAGAAAAGTTTGAGAGGAATGGAAACGGGCTTCAACCAAAAGCAATCCCCACCCCAAATTCCGTGCTTTGAATGCTCCTTTCCCAGAAAGTTGTCACTCTCTTGGGCGAATGGACTGTACTTAGCTGTCTCCTTAGGGCGTCGTGGGCATTTTCGGAGAACAAATCGCGGCCGATTTTTCCCTTTGTGTAAGTCAAGTAGCTTCCTAGTCGAAAACCGAGGTGGGGGGGACCGAGGGAGGGAAGCAGCAGCAGGGGAATTGATGCTTCTCCGCTGGAAAAAGGAGGGGAAACCTTAAAGAAGTCCCTCTCGCACAAGTTGTTCCTGCTAATTTCCGGATTTTCTATTTCCTCGTTGGAAATCCCTCCCTGTCTCCCACAACCGCCTTGGGCGGTGGCGATCTTGCCTCCTCTCTTTCCTTCACACCACGCTCTCTTGTTCTTTTTCCTGTGTAAACTTTCTGGACGAGTTCAAGTTTCTGGAGCTTGCGCCTCATACTCCGCCTCAGGGGACAGGTGAAAGCCGCTGTCTCTCCGCCCCGTTTCCTATCCAGGGAGCGGCAAGATTACCATATTGGCTCCCCCCGCCCCCCCCCCGAGGAGGGGTATCTGCGGTGCTGTTTTCGCTCGGCGCAGAGATAGATAAGCAAAGAAAGGGGCTGGGAAAGGGACGGACTGGCTGGGCGAGGCAGCTGAATGGGCCATCAGCCAGAGTTTTCATTTTTCTCCTGGCGTTCTCTCTCACTTCCTGCGCTAATTAAGCTTGAGCTGTACAACTGTTCCTGGTCTTATTTTGCTTTTTGGATCCAAAGCTGAATATCTTCCGTGGCTATAGCTGATCTGGATGTATATAGTGCCAGATGTAGAAGTTTCTTACTTGCGGCATATAAGTTGTTGTTCAAACAAACAAACAAACTAGAAAGGCTCTAGTATATACATTTGGATAGAGAAATTTTTCCAGAAACATGTGGCATATTAACAAGATTGAAAATGCGGAAAATGTTACCATGTTGTCCCAAAATTTCCTCTGCTCTAGGAATGTAAGGATAAGGATAATTTGTTGTGTCTTTTCTTCTCTTTTTTGTATGCTACTCATGGGAGAGGTATTTACAAATAAGTAATTTTGCTAAGTTTTTTTTATTATTTATTTCATTTCTATACCACCCAATAGCCAAAGCTAAGCAGTTTACAATTTATAAAGTAACTTTGTACAACTGTATCACTATTATTATTATTATTATTATTATTATCATTATTACATTTCTATGCCACCCCTTGCCGAAGCCTCGGGGCGGCTTACAACACAATAAAATACATTGAAATACAATAGAACATAATAAATTACCACTAAATACAAAAATACAAAAAATACACTGAGATACAAACATAATAATATAAAATTAAAATTAACAGTATAAAATAAGTAAATAAAGAATATAGGAGGAGAAAAGAGAAGGAAGAAGAAGTTGCCCTGGCCAGATCATATATTTTAACAATTAAAATGATGTTTAAATAAAAAGGTCTTTACCTGGCGCCGAAAAACCAGTAACGACGGTGCCAGGCGGACCTCTTTGGGGAGTGAATTCCATAGGTTGGGTGCCACCACAGAGAAAGCCCTCCTCCGAGTACTTACTCTCCTAATTTCTTTCATGGAGGGTTCCCGGAGAAGGGCCTCTCCCGCAGATCTCAAGGGGCAGTCGGGCATATATGGATGTAAGCGCTCGTTCAGGTAGCCAGGACCCAAGCCGTTTAGGGCTTTATAGGTCATAACCAACACCTTGAATTGGGCCCAGGCTTCAATGGGAAGCCAGTGAAGCTGACGGAGGACTGGAGTCATGTGAGCATAACGCCCCGTCCCTGTCAGCAACCTGGCAGCTCTATTTTGCACCAATTGAAGTGTTCGGACCGTCTTCAGGGGAAGCCCCACGTAAAGCACGTTACAGAAGTCTAGGCGGGAAGTCACCAGCGCGTGTGTCACCGTCGCCAGGCAGTCGTACTCCAGGTAGGGGCGCAGCTGATTAATCAGCCGAAGCTGAAGGAAGGCGCTCCTCACCACCGCTGTCACCTGAGCTTCCAAAGAAAGCTCCGGGTCGAGGAGTACTCCTAAGCTGGGGACCTTGTCCCTAAGAGGGAGTGTTGCACCATTCAGGACCAGGTCAAATCCACCCTCTCCGAAGCCCGATCCACCAACCAACAGGACCTCCGTCTTGTCTGGATTGAGTTTCAGTTTATTGGCCCTCATCCATTCCCTTACCTCGGCCAAGCACCGGTTCAGCACAGCCACTGCCTCACCTGGATTAGTGGAAAACAAGAGGTAGAGCTGGGTATCATCAGCGTATTGATGATTCCGCAGCCCACACCTCCTGATGACCTCTCCCAGTGGTTTCATATAGATGTTAAATAGCAGAGGGGATAGAATGGAGCCCTGTGGTACTCCATGGCATAGCTGCCATGGCGCAGAGACATAGTCCCCCAGCACTACCTTCTGGAATCGACCGTTGAGATAGGAGCGGAACCATTGCAAAGCAGTGCCTCCAACCCCCAATCCCGCTAGCCTATCCAGAAGGATACCATGGTCGATGGTATCGAACGCCGCCAAGAGGTCCAGAAGAACCAACAGGGATGCACTCCCCCTGTCCTTCTCCCTGCACAGGTCATCGTACAGGGCGACCAAGGCAGATTCAGTACTGTACCCAGGTCTGAAGCTGGACTGAAAAGGATCCAGATAATCAGTTTCATGCAAGAGTGCTTGGAGTTGTCCCGCCACCACTTGCTCCAACACCTTACCCAGAAACGGGATGTTGGCCACAGGTCTATAGTTAGTGGCCATCTCTGGATCCAGTCATTTGCCTATAGTACAACCATCGTTGGAGAAAACAGAAAATCCCTTCAATCAAGATGTTTTCATAACATGCTGTTTCAGTGGTTGGGTGGCAGTCTAGTTGCTAGCTAACAGAAATGGATTTTAATGTTGACATTCCCTCACTAGGAGTGAATGGCTAGGAGACCTTATTTCTCCATAGTTAAATTTACTTGCAGGAAGGGACCAGGAATATGTTTTCTGTGGCATCAGCAAGAGACAGTTTGAAAATGAGACTGAAAGAGGTAACTGAGATTAGCTCTGAGCACATGACTAGAAGCACAATATTCTGATCATGTGTGCACCCAATTACAGTACACAATATTCCGCACTAAATCAGAGCACACCAACACTAGTTTATGAACCCCAAACAACCTATGCTCTAGATCAGGGGTGGGCAATTAATTTTCCTGTGGGGCCACATGAGAAACTTTGACAGTTGTTAAGGGCTGGACCAATGCACTTACAGCTCTGCTCAATATATATCTCTATAAAAACAGTAAATGAAACATTACAATGATACAATGAAAATGTGGAGCACAGAACAACATTGTTTAATGAATATTCACAAAAACATTAACATTACATGAAAAGCAATAAATTCAATTCAATTTAGCAGATCCTTCAAAATAAAAGCAGTGCAGTTGTATTGCTTGCATCTATATTACGACGATATATATTTGCATTGACTTTTAATTTGCCAGTGACTTCATGTGGGCCAGTCAGGGTCAGCCATCTGGCCGGATGTGGCCCATGGGCCATACAATGCCCAGGTCTGCTCTAGATCAAGGATCAGCAGAAAGTACATTTCCAGATGTTTAGACTTCAACTCTCAGTTTTCCCATCTATAACTGGCCATTATGGCAGAGCCTTCCAGGAATTAATGTCCAAAACAACTGGAGATCTACTTTCTTCCCATTGGGTGAACAACCAAAATTGGGTGTGAGGACAAGTGATTCCCACACACACAGTTTTCTGAGGGCAGAATGCAGCCCAAAGGGTATAGTCACACTCCCTGCCAAAGTGATGAGACCACACCCTCAGACATCCTTTGGTTCCTGTTGTGTGTGCCAGATGAATGGTCCACCAGTATTTATGCCAGGACCTGGATTCACTATGTTTGGGGCTTCTCACATTGAGGAGAGGATGAAAAGCAGTTGAAGTTGCCCAACCCAGCTTTGCTTATCATTTGCCTTCTACACATGAGCAAGGCAAAGATAACAATGTGCATTCTTCAAACATTTTCAGAAAATCCTACAAGCTCTGGATAAGTGCATAACTGTGGTCCTCTATTCCCTCTGTTATCTCTGATCTCAGGAAGTATGAGCCCTGGTGATGAAGCATCAGCACACAAGTATGTTGAGCATATGAGAAGGCAAATGTTGTTTACTGACTTATAAGCACTCATAAATTAGTCCAGGTAATCATCTAAAACTCTTATCAACTGAAGCCAAAACAAGGGCACAGCAAAGAGGACAAAATCCTAGAAGATTATATAAACTTACAGTCTGCATGTTTTTTCTGTCTAAAAGTGCATTGGATTGCAGCTGAAATCTTCTAACTCTTGATCTTAATGGGGCATTGGAGATATTAGGCCCAACTAAAGAAACTTCTATCTAGTCATTAAAGCAATGCTAACAGATAATCTCATCTCTTTGCTTGATACCAGACAAGCCGTGTCCTGTTTACAATACATAAGTGACTGATTTTTTAAGGCTGTAGTTTTTAGACCACGCACACATAGCTACAGCGGTTCTGCTTAAAACCAAAAGGCAGGGGGGTTCAGTGTGATGCTTTGAAAAACCAGTGCTTTGGGAAGGAAAAATATATATTCAACTCATTTCTCAAGCTGTAGATTTCTCTTTTCCTGTTTCTTCCATTCCAACTGTGTTGTAAGTTACTGTTTCCATAGTAGGGCTAGGTCTGTGTTTTGAATAGTGTTTTAAATACTACTCTTAGTCAATTGTAAACAATGCCACTGTAAATCCAATAATTATTGAATGTAGAAATACAAGCCATTTTTCTTTTGGTTTAGTTTTAGAAACACTTTGATCAGGATGTGTCTCAGTCTCTGACATGACATGTCGCACCACACAGAATTTCAGCGAGATAAGACCTGCCTCTTAGTCACTGAGGTCCAAATGAGATGTGACATGCAAGCTGCATTACTTGAGAGAACATAAGAGCCATGCTGGGTCAGACCAGTGGCCCATCTAGTCCAACATTCTGTTCATACAGTAGCCAACCAGCTGCCCAGAGGTTCCCACTAGCAGGATATGAATGGAACAGCACCCTCCTGAGTTCCAACCTATGGAACTGAGTTCTGATAAGGTTCCCATAAGTTTGTGCTGGCAATTGTATATACAAGGGAGGGAGACAAAGGTCAGAGCACATGGTTTGCATGCAAAAGGCCTGAGGTTCCATCTCCAGTGAATGTTAATTGCAAACATCCTTTGGAGCTTGAACTGAGGATGTGAAATTGGAAGTGGAAAATTGGAAAATTGTATGTACTTGCCCCATACCTTGCATAAAAACCAGTGGGTTGTAGAGACCAGCTGAGTATACAGGAAAATTTGGGGGCTCAGTGTCACCATTATGCTAACTATATCTGTCCTTTCCATCTGAATCCAAGGAAGTTGAACAAGTTCTAAATCAGTGTCAGA